AATTCTTTTATGGCCGTCTTATGACTGATACGATGATAAAGAAGCTATGGAGACTACGCCCTTATATTTCAATCTATTAAAATTCGCATTCTTTTCCCCCAATCAGACCACAGCAGACAAGCGCAACAACTTATCCTGGAACATTTACTACTGGATCGGCAGCGAATCAACCCAAGATGAGTCTGGAGCCGCCGCCATATTGACAGTTGGTCTTGATGACAAATTCAACGGTGCTGCTATCCAACACAGGGAAGTTTTAGGACAAGAGAGCCAAGACTTCAAAGCATTGTTCCCGTCAGGTACGTAGCGACATCTCTTGGTGGGGTATACAGAACATAGATACTATAAAAGTTCTGTTGGCTGAAGGTAGATGGCGGTATTTTTATTAATAGTACATTTTCCTATGAGGGAAGTCACATTCTTCACACTCAATTATCGATTGTTACGAGCGACGCTTCTGATATTGCAGACGAAAACGAACATAGGTAGGTTACCTTAAATGGCAATTACTATTTCCTGGATCGTTCTTAATAAAGAGCATTTATTGAGTCTATTTTTAGCATGAATCTATGAAACTATGACGGCATCGTATACACACGTAGGGCAACTGATCAAACAGGATAATTATCGATAATTGAAGCTAAACGCGGTCCAATTAGAGCAAGTGAGTAATTGCTTCCTTTGAGACTCAGGCACACAGTCGTATTAAAAACTTTACATTATTTACGTCATCGGTCTGTAAGAATTAATAAAATAATAACTCAATCAAATTGGATAAATATTTGTTCGTTATTAAGACAACGCACCTCGGGTAATAGCAGCAGGGTCACTAGTCTTTAGTTGTAGTAGCGGTAATCGGTCTCTTACGACCCCCTAAATGAGTCTAAGGATAGCGGACTTGGGGAAGTCCCCGCCACCCCATTTTAAAGGCCCCAAAACGGTGGCGTGCGTTGAGTCCACGCGCGCCTCCGAGACGTAACACGGAGATCAACACCTCACTCCTCTGTGCATCTTAAGGTGGGGTCTGGTAAGGCAGGCCGCTACCAGTTCGGGAGCCGTTGAAGAATGTGACTCCCGCACCCTCGTTGCGACGTGTAAGACGGGACACCGGGGTGGGTTTTAGACAGTAGCCTGACAATCGCTTTCGTCCTCCCCAGGCTGAGGGGGCTTCATGACGTTTCCCACCTTGAGGTTTAAAAAAAGGGTCACTAGTACCTTACAAAGTAACTTCGCAAAATCGATGATGTAGCATTTAATACGTCCACTTAAACCTAAATTTCCCGAGCGTACGGCACGTCGCTTTCCACGCGCTCCTCAAAGAGCCATCAGACCATCACGGATAGGGCGCAATAGGGCTGATGCCGATTCGGAGCCGCGGAGGACTTAACAGGTTGCAGGGGCTCCGGCTCGAAGGGCAGGAGTAGGCACGGGGTGGTTTTTAGTCAGTAAGAATCTGACACTCACTCCCGCCTCACCCAGGCGGGAGAAGTCATTCCATGATTTTATCCCCTTAAAAAAAATGCCTACAATTTCGGGGTTCAAAAGGTGTGATGTCATGAGTTTTATGCTAGAGTATTTAATTTCAATGTAAGTACTTTCTATTTACAGGCTTGCAGTATTTGAGCGGTGGTCACGCATCAGGCTTCAACCATGTTGTCACGAACGCTGGCGCTGAAAAGAGGCTCATCCAAGTAAAAGGCAAAAGAAATATTCGTACACGACAGGTAAAGGATACTTTAACTTAAATTAAGTATTTGAGGTTTTATTATAAGTAGGCTCTAGCTGATGCCCGCGACTTCGTTCGCGTTGAATATGATTTTTTGTTTGTTTTTATTTTACAAAATATAAGTAGGCTATGTTACTCCTTAATGCATCAGGTACCTGCCAATAAAAGTCCCGTCAAAATCAGTCCAGCTGTTCTAGAGATGAGCCAGTACAAACAGATTGATAGATAAAAAAATCAAACTCAAAAGCATTTATTTTAATTAAACCATATTTTGGTACTTTTGAAACGTCAACAAATATGAAATAAATAATAGTCAGTCAGTGTGTCCGTCAGTAAAGCTAGGCGCTCGTTCCAAAATGTCGATTCGAGTGGAGAAGAACGAGCAAGAAACTCCATTCGTTACTCTTTAAAAAAAAATGCTATTTTGTTATTTGTATCGTCTGCATGTAGTAAAAAGCGGTTGTTTTAATATTACAAACAGATCCTACAATTTTATCTATCTGTTTAAATTTTATTTTGCTGTAAAGATTCCTCCGTAACTTTTGAAACTTCTCATTTCTTTTCTGCCCCACGGTTTTGTTGGCAAAGAGGCAAATCTGACTTCCCAGCAAAGGTTCTTGAGTATAATTTGGCCGTTTGATTGCGGCGGGATCAAATATTATTTAAAGGTTTTAAATCTCGAAATGTCGTTAAAAAGGGTGTTACTTCTGTGTGCACCTCTGCCTACCCCTTCGGGGATAAAAGGCGTGATGTTATGTTATGTTTTAAATCAGTTGTTCAAAAATATACAAATTCGTGGCTTGCCCAATAAATGGCAATAGGCAATTAAATGTGTTTCTAAGTGTGGGAGAGCCATTCTTCGGCACGAATGGGACGGCTCGACCGGAGTGATACCACAGCCGAGCAGAAAACCGACGTGAAGTAATGCTTGCGTTGTGTTTCGTCGTGTGAGTGAGGGTACCGGAGGCCCAATTAGCCGCTCCTCAATCTCCTCGATAATCCTGAAATTCCTTATTCCCAAAAGGCCGTTAACCCACTTGGAACACCTCTGGTGTTTCGGGTGTCCATGGGTTGCTTGTCATCAGGTGATCCGTCTACTTGTTTACTGGCTTATTCCATAAAAAAATATGGAGTATGATTAGTAAATTGCAAAAAGGTCCAATTGAATTACAATTACATACTTCACTGATCATTTTCTAACATAAGGCAATATGAAGTTAAAATTACCCACTCATGTATCCTTCTCTATTTGTTATTGGCATGGTGGGATACTATAAGTTAGAGGTCAGGCGAGAAGTTGCACTCGCAAAGTACGTGTTTGAGGTTTTCCGGGGTAAACAGAACAATCTATCCATACTGGCTTCGTTGACGTTGCTCGTCCCATATATAAAGCTAAGGCTGAGCCCGAGGCAGAGACTATTTGAGGTCCCCACCAGTCGCATTAACATAGGTCGATATGCTCTTGTGGCTAGAGCTAGTAAAATAATTAACAGCGTTGGAGAAAAGTTGATATTTTCTGTTGCTCTTTGGCGGAGTTCATAAAGTTAACGACTGATGTTGTTAGTTACACATATGTAGTTGATGGATAAGTGCAAGTAATATGGCTATGTTATAAATAACAATGGTATGTATAAGTTTTTATATTAAACTGTCAAAAACCAACCGGTCACCTGTGACCGCAACCTATTGTTCTTTAATTGTGTCTATATTGACGGTACTCGACGAGTTAAGTGACAACATTATCGCATTGGATGTAACCTGTTAGGTTGTCTTAATTTGAACATATAGTAACATAACATAACATCACGCCATTTTAACCCCGAAGGGGTAGGCAGAGGTGCACATTTCGGCACTAAATGCCACTGTACAATGTAACATCCACTTTTCACTATTTATGTTATAAGTCCCATGTAATAGGGGGTGAGCCTATTGCCATATACCGGGCACATTTCCAGACTCCGCGCTACTATTGAGATATTAAAAAACCCAGTAATACTTTTGCCCGACCCGGGAATCGAACCCGAGACCCCTTGTCCAGTCGCACTTGCGACCACTCGGCCAACGAGGCAGTCCAGGCAGGCAGTTGAACATATAGGTACTTAAATAAATAAAAATAAATATTTCTAACTTTACAGGTAGACCCTTTGATCTCCTCAATGAACAAAGGAGATTGTTTCATCCTAGACATTGGCAACGAAGTCTACCTCTACGTTGGAGAGAGCACCAGAAACATGGAGAGACTGAAGGCAGTCTCTGTAGCCAACCAGATCAGAGACCAGGACCATAACGGAAGAGCTAGATTGGAAATCATTGGTGAGTTATTTTGTAAAAAGTTTTCTGTAATAGGACCAAAAAAACGAATATGGAGATATACAGGTGGAACTTGTAATGCCACTTTTTTATGTTATTAATATTATTTTTTCATGTCATTACGTTGAAAATAATTAAAACAGATGCATGTTAAGATATAGTGGTGAGTCGGTTAACATATATTGGTGTTCGAGTGTGTGTTGGCGTAAGGTGCGTGTGTGTGCGTGTGGTATGTCAATCAGTGGGCATGTGGTGTGCGGATGTGTGGTAAGAGTTGTTGTATATGCATATAAGAGTGAATCAAGTAATAATAAATAGCACTGAGTTTGAAATTGAGACTGATGTGAACAAAGGCCTAAAAGAGGGCCGTAGCTGCGAAAAAGTCGACATAACATCGAGGGGTAACGGGCTATTTGGTTTAAGCGACATTTTGGGCGATATTGAGTTATTATATTATTATATATTCGACGGAGAAAAATTCGCTGATTCCGAATATATATATATAACTCAATATCGCCCAAAATGTCGCTTAAACCAAATAGTCCGTTACCCCTCGACATGGTATAAATGAATTTAAAGCAACATTTTTTGTTTTACAGACCAATACTCCAACGATGTGGACACCCAGAAATTCTTCACAGCACTTGGATCAGGAGCTAAGGACTTGGTGCCAGAAGCAAGCGCTGGTGGAGACGACCAGGTTAGCATTGACTTTAGCACTACATCAAGCTTTTAATTGACTTAAGAAGAAAATATGGTATACATATGGTGCTGACTGAATAGAACGTGTACAAGACCCTGCTCTTCCCATATGTGTCGTATAGGTACTCGATAAGGGACTACACATTTGACAGAGACTGGACAGAAGCAGTCTCTTATACCCCTGAACCTTTGACTGCACGGTTGGTGCTGTGGGCAACCGACTGCCGTGCAGCGTGCCGCGGGTTCGATTCCCGCACGGAACAACACTTTGTGTGATCCACGAATTGTTGTTCCGGATCTGGGTGTCATGTGTATGTGAATTTGTATGTTTGGAAATGCACTCACGACACAGGAGAAAATTCTAGTGTGGGGCAACGTTATAAAAAAAAATAAAGTAACAAACCTTTTAAATCCACCTGTCAAGCTGTATGAATGAAACCAGTAGGTATAGCAGTCAAAGTCGCAGACCACAGTGTTGCAATGGGTCGAGCGGAAACTCAAACTCCAAAGCATTTACTTCTATTAAACCATAATTTGGTACTTATGAAACGTCAACAAATATAAAATAAATAATCATCATCAACACAACAGCCTATAAGTGCCTACTACTAAGCAAAACCTGTTCTCACACGGAGAAGGTTTGAGCATTAATCACCGCAATGCGGGCAAATTATAAGCCAAGGTTTCCTCACGATGTTTTCATTCACCGTTTGGTTTGCCCTGTGGTGTCTAGATAATCCTTACTAATATTATAAATCGGAAAGTAAGTTTGTTTGTTCCGCTTTCAAGCCGTAACTACTAAACCGATTGCTTTGAATTTTTGCAGACGTAAAGTTAGAAGTCTTGATTAAATAAAATAATACTTTTTATCCCGGAAAAATTTGATATCCTCGAGGGAAAACGAAATTATTGGTATAGATGGCGCTGTGTGTATTGGTATATGTCACATAGGGTACTTTTTATCCTTTTGTGACGCGAGCGAAGCCGCGGGTAATAGCTAGTCTTAAAATAAATAATAGTTTACATTATCGGCACAAGATCCTTTGAAAGCCTTGGTACGTGAGTGAAATTGAATCCAAAGTACCTAAGAGCGAGACAACTTATTTGAGTCAATGCAAACAACCTAATGTTTTGCCGGTAACGAAACCATAGCTTGCTTTTAAATCGGACAACGCCATCTATCGAGCTATGGGACAACACAATAAATAGTAGTACGGCGTTGGCTGAGTGCATCTTTTAGAAAGATTATTAGTATACTGAAGAAATAGTCTGTCAGTCTGTCTGGTGCTCGTTCCGAAAGTAGATTGGAGTGGAGAAGAACGAGTAAGAAACTCCATTGGTTACTCTAATAATTGCGTGAGTTAAAAGTGGCGGCAAACGTTAAACCCATATGATTATTTTTCCAGCTCATCGCAAACTCAAGACGCCAGCATGGCGTACAAGTACAACTGACGATCTCTGTCAAACGAAACTTACAATAACCTAAAATAAAATAAATAATTGTCCAATTATTATTAACTTTTATTATTTCCTTTTCTTCCAGGCTTTTGAGCGCAATGAAGAGCAATCAATCGTACTCTCAGAAGTATCTGATTCTACAGGCAAAGTGAAGGTCACAGCTCTCTCCAAGCCGTACAGACAGGAACAACTGAAACCACAGGTAAATTATATACGTGTTCATTATAAATTAGACCAAGCTTCGGCACGAATGCCCCGGCTCGATCGGAGTGATACCACGGCCGAGTAGAAAAACGACGTGAAACAACGCTTGCTTTGTGTTTCGTGGTGTGAGTGAGGTTACCGGAGGCCCAATCAACCCCACACTTCCCTAATCTCCCCAATCCCTGAATCCCCATTAATCTTTAAACTTCTAATTCCCCAAAAGGCCGGTAACGCAGTTGAGACACGTCTGGTGCTTCAGGTATCCATGGACGACGGCGATTGATCCGTCTGCTCGTTTACCGGCTTATACCATAAAAAATTTTAACGGTTCAGTCAATTGACTCATGAAAATATTTTATATAAACTTTATATCATTATGATAACCATTGTCATGTTTGACTGCCTCGTTAGCCGAGTGGTTGCAAGTGCATCTGCCGGGCAAGGGGTCTCGGGTCCGATTCCTGGGTCGTGCAAATTATTACTGAGTTTTTTAAAAATTCTTAGTAGTAGCACGGAGTCTGGAAATGTGCCCGGTATATGGCAATAGGCTCACCCCCTATTACATGGGACTCACAACATAAATAGAGAAAAGTGGGTATTACAATTTACAGTGGCATAAGTGCCGTAATGTACACCTCTGCCTATAGAAGGCGTTGATGTTATGTTGTTTTGTTTTTTGCAGGAAGCCTATATTTTGGACACAGTCACTGGAAGCATCTACGTTTGGACTGGCAGACAAGCGACAGAGAGGGTAAGGTGTTTTTCTATAATTAATTAATTATACATAGTATGTAATACCTTTAAAAACCTTTAAAAATGTTAACTTCATTTTATCAAATGTTGCTGTGGCCTTACGGGGTCCATAAATGTAACTTAGCTTTAAGCGTATTGTAACACCTTATTCACTTTATGGTATGCAAATAAATTAATATGAATACCTATAATATATGTGCCTTACGCCTGAACTGAAAGGCTACTCAAATTTAAGTTGTGCTAAAATCATGCCATCTCTTTCGCTTATTCGTTATTTCATTTATTTATATGTATGAGGCAACGAAGGCCCATATTAAAATACAATAATACTATAATATCTAGTGTCTAACTGTGTCTACTACAAAATGTACCTTACGTACGTTACGTAACGTAGTTTGTAATTCTTTTAAAATGATAATTTCGGGTAAACTGTCAAACACCAGGCGGTCACCGGTGACCGCAACCTATTGTTCTATAATTGTGTCTATAATGACGGTACTCGACGAGTTAATGGATAGTGTTTTTTAAATTCGTACTAGCGACCCGCCCCGGCTTCACACGGGTGCAATATGCATGTATTATATATTATGTATATAAACTTCCTTAAGAATCACTCTATCTATGCAAAAAAAACCGCATCAAAATCCATTGCGTAGTTTTAAAGATCTAAGCATACATAGAGACAGACAGACGGCGGATAGCGACTTTGTTTTATACTATATAGTTAAAAAGGTTAATTAACAATATTACATATTGTCGTTCACAGGAAAAGACTGAAGCCATGACTAAAGCTCAGCAGCTGTTGTCTTCGAAGAATTACGCATCTTGGGTAAGCCGTATAAAATTAATTCCTTGTTCATTGGCCGAGTGGCTGCAAGTGCTGAATGACGGGCAAGGGGTCTCGGGTTAGATTTCGTGGTCGGGCAAAGTGTAACTGAGTTTTTAAAAAACGTTCCTAGTGGTAGCACGGAGTCTAGAATCGTGCCCAGTATCCGGAGTAACCAGACGTGAAGACGTAACAAACAAACAAATTATAAAGTATCAAATTAGGTTACTCCAGGTATGACATACTAATTTTTGGGTTGCTATACTGACATTTATAAATTTGCCGGGCTTTTTCAGTCTCTACTTTCGTTTGCCAGACTCTAACATAAATAGTGAAAAGTGGTTGTTACATTGTACAGTGGCGTGTGTCTGTGAACATACCGTTCAAACAGGTGGATTACTCTTGAATCCAATTCCGATCGATCGACATTCATATTGTGAAATTACGTAGTCTTGGGTTGCAACACTAGCGCCCATTGCATCCGTATTGCGTGGATATTGAATGAACTAAACAGTATTGAGTATAGATTTATATTCCGTAGGTACTCTGAGTGCTATTTTAACTGCTACGATAGAGGTTGTATAGTTTTGACATTGAATTATTATTGAGATTTTATTGGATTGAAATTGCATTGACATTGAGATTGGTTTCAAGAGTAAGCACCCTGACAGGCGCGTAAACCGCCGTACCGCGCGGTGCACCGTTCCGAAATCCTCTTTATCGTCGTCGCTCTCCGCAGCGGTACGCGGTGTCATATTCTAATCGCCTAAGTCGCACTTAGTCTCACGAGAAAATTCTCGTATGTTTAATAATTCGTTTTATTTTACAGGTCAAAGTAGTAAAGATTCCCCAGGGTACTGAGCCAGCGATCTTCAAACAGTACTTCGTCACCTGGAGAGACCTCGGCATGTCACACACAAGAATAGTATAATTTGTTAATTGCCAAATTAAATGAAACATACCAAAACCAACACTTTAATCTATAAATATTTAAAATCAGCATATTATTAAAGTAATATGTATAACTATGCATGTAATTTAGTCATCATTTTTACATAATATTGTCATCTTTACACAGCGATCCTAAGGCATTTTTTTTTATTAATTGTAAAGAAAAATAAAAAATAAACTGGAACAATGGAAACAAAAGAAATAATTATGGAATAATATCAAAATGTTACCGAATACCGCATGGCACTGTTTAATCTTCTTATAATGTAGTACACCGCCATCTATTGTAATATATGATAACAAAATCTTCGTATAAGAAAAGGTGCTGCCATCTAGTGATGAATATCTAGTAATATTATGCTGATTTTGTACGTCAAACAATAAATAAAATATGATTTTAATAAAAATGAATACTCATAATATACAATTGAAACAATATTAAATTTACAAATGAAATCTTTTGTTTTATTCAACCTTCCTATTTAATAATCCACGTTAATTTACGTAGGCTAACTAATTTACGTGACCTATGTTTGAATATCAAGCTCCAGGTGTGTTGCTGGTGGTCTTGACTAATAAAAGACTTCGGTATGATATGGCGAGCCGGCCCATTACGTCATAACATACATGTCTTGTACGAGTCTCAGCATTATGCTGAGCACCAGCCGTTTTGCGCGGATGTGACTCGCACCACTTTTGGCGAGCGATTTTAATTCATCGCGTTACATGTAGCTTAGACAAAACAGGTGTTTTGTCTAATAGTTCAAAGTAAATAATTAAGAAATTTAAGAATTACTCATTGTTTTATTCCTAAAACCAACATCTACCAGCTGACAGTGGTAAAACCTATAGTCGGAATTTTAATTAGATTCCAGATTTGACAATAGCTACTGTCATTTTGTGAAATAATGATACCACATATAATAGTGTAGTGATGCACACAAAAATCGATAAACAATAAGTGTATGTGTTTTATAATAAATGTTACAGAAAGTGACAGGATAGCGATAGCGATGCCGGCGACAATTTATAAAATAACTTATTAGCATAATACATCTATCTGTTTCATTTGTCATGTTCCTTCATGATTACATTTTTTTATTTATTTCACAGACAGTTATAAAAGAAAAGTCTCAGATCGTTAATTAATCGTCAAAACTAAATTTTCGGTTCAGAAATATTGCATTTCCATATCGAATAATTCCGCAACGTCACTATTTAGTACTTGTCATAACGTTGCAACACTGAAATTGTCAAATCTGGAATCGAATTAAAATTCCGAGTATAGCATATACTGAGTTCGAATGGTAAAAGCTCGAAAAACTCGTCGTAGGTATCTTCAGAAATACTTACATTTACCAACTCATGTCGGTAAATCCTAAGACTTACACTTAAATCTTAAGATTTACCGTAATTCGAACTTTTACAGTAACATATATAATATATATTTTATTACATTTATAAACAGCGTATAAATTTAATTTGGATAGGAAAAATAAAATAGGTATTTTTTTTTTACAAGATTTTTTTTTTATTTTAATTTTTTTTTCAAATAAAAAATATAGTTTTTAGGATTTTGTCTGTTTGTCTGTATGTATGTCCGGGATGATCTTAAAAAGTACTGCATGGATTTACTTCAAACTTTGCATGAATATTAATAACAGGTCGGGTGAATATATAGGCTACATATTATCATGCTAGCTGGGGAGGAGCTGTGAATCACTATTTTAGGCGTCGAAGTCGCGGGCTTTTTTTTTAAGGGGGGAAAATCATCGAATGACTGCTCCCGCCTGGGTGAGGCGGGAGGGAGTGTCAGACTCTTACTGACTAAAAACCACCCCGTTCCTTCTCCTGCACGTCGAGCCGGAGCCCCGGTTACACGTTAGGCTTATCTAGTACTTTATATGTATCTAAAAGTATAAATAATTATTAACAAAAATAAAGTAGAATACGTTATTAGAGGTATAAAGTATGGCAACCCTAATATAATTGTGTAAGTACCTACTGTATACCGTCACAGAGATTAAAAAACATGACGTCATATTATTTTATTAGTATTATTAATCTGTTTGTATGATATGTATATTAACATATACATTTATATATTGCACATTATGCCACTATTAGTAATAATATTGTAATGAACTTGATAAAGTCACTTAGGGCATATTCATAATATGTACACATATATTAAACAGAACCCATACAATAAACGAAGACAGGTAATGATAGAAAACGAGTTCTATTTAAAAAAATAAGGTATTATACACATAATATAACATCACGCCTTTTATCCCCGAAGAGGTAGGCAGAGGTGCACATTATACCACTGTACAATGTAACACCCACTTTTTCACTATTTATGTTATGGATCCCTTGTAATAGGGGGTGAGCCTATTGCCATATACCGGGCACAATTCCAGGCTCCGTGCTACTACTGAGATTTATTAAAAACCCAGTATTACTTTGCCCGACTCGGGAATCGAGCCCGAAACTTCTTGCTCGCAGTCGCACCAGCCAGTAAATATACTGAGAAAAGCTCTAGGTACTAGTTTCGAACCACAGAGGGGTTCTTCGCGTCGTGATGTCGCGCAGCCTACTGTATATTTAAGTGAGTAACCCGCGATCGATTTTTAGTTCATTTAGTATGTCTTGCGATAATTATTATAACAAGGTAATAAATATTTATTTCATGTAATAACAGAATTGTAATCAACTGTTCAAGGCTGATGTTGCAGAAATAACAGGATAATAAAAACGATTGAAAAATTTTGGTCAGCGTTTTCGGAAGCGATGCGTTTGCTGCGATATATATATATACTGTAAAATGTATCTATATATACCTATACTACCTTTTACCCGCGGCTTCGCTCGCGTCACAAAAGGATAAAAAGTAGCCTATGTGACATATACCAATACACAAAGCGCTATCTATACCAATAATTTCGTTTTCCCTCGAGAATATCAAATTTTTCTGGGATAAAAAGTACCCTATTATTTAATCCAGACTTCTAACTTTACGTCTGCAAAAATTCAAAGCAATCGGTTTAGTAGTTACGGCGTGAAAGCGGAACAAACAAACAAACTCACTTTCCCATTTATAATATTATAGTAAGGATAAATGAATGCCTTTTGCCCTTGGTGACAATGATTTGTTGATTACCTTGGAAATGTGCAACGAAGCTTTGATAATAATTGAAGATATATGTCTAACGATTGCAAATAAAGCATTAGTACAATTGGGTATGACCGCACCAAATCGTCCCATGCATGATTTGTTTGATCGTGAATTGCAACGTGAGCAGGAATTCAACTGTAATGATTTGCGTTTATTTGTACAATCGAATATAACCAAATTAAATATTCAGCAAAAACATGTATATGATACAATCATGCAAGCCGTTTCCAATAATGCAGGTGGATTATATTTTTTGGATGCACCTGGTGGCACAGGTAAAACGTTCGTTATATCATTGATTTTAGCGACTATTCGATCAGATCAGAAAATTGCACTAGCACTTGCATCTTCGGGAATTGCTGCTACATTATTAGAAGGTGGTCGGACCGCACACTCTGCATTAAAATTGCCATTGAATGTACAGGTGATTGAAACTCCAACTTGCAATATATCGAGAAATTCTGCTATGGCAAAAGTTCTGCGATTAACGTCAATTATTTTATGGGATGAGTGTACAATGGCGAATAAAAAATCACTAGAAGCATTCAATCGAACAATGCAAGATTTACGTGGTAATCAACAGCTTTTTGGTGGTGCTTTGATATTACTTTCAGGGGATTTTCGTCAAACATTGCCTGTCATTCCTCGATCAACTCCTGCTGATGAAATAAATGCCTGCTTGAAGTCATCAGTTCTTTGGAGATATCTACAAAAATTGACACTAAACATTAATATGCGTGTTCACCTACAAAATGATCCAGCTGCCCATGAGTTCTCAAAACAATTGTTAGAAATTGGTGACGGCAAAATACAAATCGACAGAACCAACGGATTGATCGCTGTACCGAACAATTTTTGTACAATTGCGCAATCGATAGATGAATTGATTGAATGTGTTTTTCCGAATATTGTTCAGAATTACAGAAATCATGATTGGTTGACAGAACGCGCCATTTTAGCACCGAAAAACATTCATGTCAATGCAATTAATTTTCAAATTCAAGCGAAACTGCCAGGCGTAGTCACGAAATATAAATCAATTGACAGTGTTATGAATCAAGATGAGGCAATGAATTATCCAATTGAATTTTTAAATTCATTGGAGCCGGCTGGTATGCCACCGCATTGCTTGAATCTGAAAGTTGGTTCTTCGATTATATTATTGCGAAATATTAATCCACCAAAACTGTGTAACGGAACCAGATTGGCAGTGAAAAAGTTATTGCCAAATTTGATTGAAGCTACGATCTTAACTGGTAAATCAAAAGGAGAAGTTGTTTTGATACCGCGTATACCTATGATTCCAACTGATATGCCTTTTGAGTTCAAACGTTTACAATATCCTGTGCGTTTATCATTTGCGATGTCCATCAACAAGGCCCAAGGTCAAACACTTCACGTTTGTGGTGTGAATTTGGAGGAACATTGTTTTTCACATGGCCAGTTATATGTTGCCTGTTCCAGAGTCGGTACCCCCAGCCGTTTGTTTATTTATGCTCAAAATGGAAAAACAAAAAATATTGTTTATCCAAATGTTTTGGATTAAGTGTGTTGTAAATAGCTAGCAATTGATTTCGATTTTAAATAAAATATTTTTTTGATTAAATAAATGAATTTGATGTTCCGATTTGTTTATTTTATTTCACTTTATACGTAGCGAAGCACGTACCGGGCCGCTAGTTTAATTATTTTTTTTTGTTGTATTTGTTAGTATTAGAAGGTTATTTTTTATTTTATAACATCACACCGTTTATCCCCGAAGGGGTAGGCAGAGGTGCACATTATACCACTGTACAATGTAACACCCACTTTTCACTACTTACGAGTACGCGTTCGGCGCTCTGATTGGCCGGCGCCAACGAAGCAACCAATCACAGCGCCGAACGCGTACTCGTTACGACTACTTTAAACGTAAGACAAACTCGTACTAAGGCCTCAGAGTGCCGAACGCATACTCGTTCCGAATACTTTATAATTAAATCAAACTCGTACTACGGCCTCAGGAAAGCACTGAATGTCACAACAAAATAGTGAAATATTAAAAATATTACCGTCTGTCGGTTATTCCTCTAGTGATGCTATTTCCTCGTTCCAAAGTGTAGATTCCTATGGAAAAGAACCAGGAAGAAACTCCATAGGTTACTCTTTTTCAATCATGTTCACAATACAATATTCTTTGTTTACATTGTTTCGTTGGTACAATAGGGTAGATGACAAATTTTTATTTTAATGTCCGTCTGGTAGATTGTTTAAAAATATTATAAGTACCCGTATTTTTTATATTCTTACAGAAACGAATAGTTTCGAAGATATATTGATTCGAAATGTCGCGTGACCTCACTTCTATGTACATTTTATTCGTAGAAATGACGTTTTAGCCCCCACTCCTAAACTTTGATTCGTTATATCTAAGTATCATCTTCTTTATATATAATTATAATTCTTCTGTGAGTGTGTATGTCACTGAACTTCTCTCAAACGACTGGACCACTTTTGATGAAATTTTTTGTGTGTGTTCAAGGAGATCTGGGAATGGTTTACATTCACAAATCAGCCCGGCAGGTGGCGCTGCAGTCAATGTTTAGGTTATTTATCCTAAACAGCTGAACTAATTTGAATGAATTTTTGTTTATACATTCAAGTGGATATGCAGGACAACGTCTGTTGGGTCCGCTAGTTTAATTATAAGACAAAATAAAAATATACGTGTGTAATATTATTTCATTACCTAACAGACTGACTAATAAATTACATTTTTAATTTTCATACCCTGATATCATCCCACAGAAATTTGTTTTATTATATCTGTCATCATCATCAACAGCCTATAAATGCCTATTGCTGAGCAAAGCCTCTTCTCACACGGAGAAGGTTAGAGCATTAATCACCACGCTTGCTCAATGCGGGTTGGCGATTTCAAACTTATAATTAGAAATTATAAGTTCAGGTTTCCTCACGATGTTTTGTCAGTGGTGTCTAAATAATCTTAGAAAGTACATATAACTCGGAAAAAGTCACATTGGTACTTGCCGTTGGTAGGTTTCGAACCCGCACCCTCATGCATGAGAAGTGGGCGTCTTAAACCTCCGGGCCACCACGACATATCTCACTATATACATATCACATTATATCTGTGCATCATCCCTATTATGTGAGCACACCAATATTCAGTCAAAAGTCAAAAGAAAATAACCTTGAGGACAACAAATTTAAAGCATAGCTAAGTATATCACAGTGAAAATAAAGATTAAAGAAAATGGACTAACAGGATCCACATAAAGAAAATACATATAAATAACTGTTGCCCGCGACTTCGTCCGCGTAGAAAAATGCCTTCTGGCAGAATTTAGGCTTTTGATGTACGTAGTCTTTATCAAGGGATATTTATTTATTTATTTATTTAAATAGGTTAGCCAACAATTATTACACTTTTTCATTACTGTTAATAAAAGATATAACACATGTGCGAGTATAATAATCACTTATAGGCTAACACAGCATGCACAATAGTATTAGTTAACAATACAATAATGGATATTCTACGGTAACGAATGTCGTCAGAATAGGGATGTTGACAGGGTATGAAAATTAACAATCTAATTAGTCCGTCAGTGAGATAATGAAAAAATATTAGACAAGTATTTTTTTTCGTATAAGAAAACAATGCTTAGATAAAACGCATCAAAGTTTAGAAGTGGGAGGTAGCTACGTCATTTTATAGTAGGTGATAAATCGTACTCAAAAGTGACGTCTCGCGATATCCTTACTATATATAATAATATTATAAATCGGAAAGCGAGTTTGTTTGTTTGTTCCGCTTTCACGCCGTAACTACTAAACCGATTGCTTTGAATTTTTGCAGACGTAAAGTTAGAAGTCTGGATTAAATAATAGGGTACTTTTTATCCCGGAAAAATTTGATATTCTAGAGGGAAAACGAAATTATTGGTATAGATGGCGCTGTGTGTATTGATATATGTCACATAGGCTACTTTTTATCCTTTTGTGACGCGAGCGAAGCCGCTGGTAAAAGCTAGTTTCAAATAAATACGTCTTCGAAACTATTCGTTTGTGTAAGAATATAAAAAATACGTTTCTTATGTTTTTAAATAATCTACCAGACGGACATTACAATTTATTAAAATTAGTCATCTACCCTATTGATTCAATATCTAGTATAGGGCTCCTCCCCCGTAGATAATAGCGTGATAATATGTAACCTATATATTGACCCGACTTGTTAGTAATATTCGTGCAAAATTTGAAGTAAATCCATGCAGTAATTTTTGAGATCATCCCGAACATACATACAGACAAACAGACAAAAATATTTAAAATCATATTTTTGGCTTCGGTATCGATTGTAGATCACAACCCAAGTATTATTTTAAAACAATATTTAATGTACAATTTTGACTTTTCTACTATTTTATTATACGTATAGATAGATATATATGATTTTGTACAACAGTATGAAATCACCCTACTTTAAATAAATTAAGTAATTTGAGAACGAGTTCAACCAGTATTCTGTTACCCGCGCGGACAGACGATCGCTTACAAAGTAATATTAACAAAATGCATTATATCAAAATAAAGACTTTTCCTCATACGATTTTACTATTAGTTTTGTTAATAAACGAGTGTAAATCTCAGTATTATATAGGAGACAATCGTTTTAAATATTTCACTGAAGTGTTTTCTTGGAAGCAGATTAACTATGACTTTGACGGTGTCCTATGTGAGTGTATATTACATTTTTATTACTGTTTACGAACCTTAAATGTTCGTTTCGGGTTTTTTTTTATTCTCTTTTATTTGGTAAGGGGTTTTTATCCACATGGATATGTCAACCCCATGTAACTTATACACTATTTTCATAAAATTATTAAACACGTATTATTAACACTTTTCGTACTTAACTATGCTTTTGCCTATACGAAGGGGAATTATTGCCTAGAACTCTTTATTAGGGTAGAAATAATGCACTTAGACATGTTTGATTTAGGGTGAGCTAAAATATTTTGCATAAGTCCAACATCCCACAGGTTTAGTTTAAACTCTCTAGCCAAGGATTCCCTCTCATTCTTGTTCCTTTCACATTCCATCAGTAAATGCTGCACATCTTCAATTTTATGACATATCTCACAGTTAAGCGAAGAAACTTTCCTCATTAAACTGCCAAACACCAAGCGGTCACCGGTGACCGCAACCTATTGTTCTATAATTGTGTCTGCAAAACCGGTACTCGACGAGTTAAGAAGGCAAACTTTGCCGATGGATAGTGGCCAGAGCGAAGTCTTAACGCTAACTTAACATAATTCCTGGGTAAGTTTTTATCATCAAACCAAGGTCCACGAGGGGGTACATTTTGTACGACTTTATACCAGATGCCTTTATCTTTAGAAATTTCATTGAAGTGGCTTATCCATTTATCAAAACATATATTCTGGAACCTAGAAAAATATTCCCTATAATCTGGCACGTACATAGTATCATTTCCCATCTCAACTGCCATTTTGGATAATTGGTCAGCCTCTTCGTTGCCTCTTAAGTTTCGTTTCGGGTTGATTCACAAATTGTTGTTCCGTGTCTGGGTGTCATGTGTATGTGAATTTGTATGTTTGTAAACGCACGACACAGGAGGGAATCCTAGTGTGGGGCAAGTCGCGGAGAACCTAACAGGTAACCGGGGCTCCGGCTCGACGTGCAGTAGAAGGAACGGGGTGGTTTTTAGTCAGTAAGAGTCTGACACTCCTTCCCGCCTCACCCAGGCGGGAGCAGTCATTCGATGATTTACCCTCCTTAAAAAAAGTGTGGGGCAAAGTTAAAAAAAAAAATCGATTAACTATACCCGGAATTTTAATTCGATTCCAGATTTGACAATTTCAGTGTTGCAACGTTATGACAAACGTACTAAATAGTGATGTTGCGAAATTATTCGATATGGGAATGGAATATTTCTGGATCGATTCTTCTCGTTTATAATTTAACTCTCGTAAACTAAGTATATCAGGAAATTAAATATTTCTGAACCGATAATTTAGTTTTGACGATTGATTAACGATCTGAGACTATTCTTTTATAATTGTGTGTGAAATAAATAAAAAAATGTAATCATGGAGGAACATCAATACATAGTATAAAACAAAGTCGCTTTCGCTGTATGTCCGTATGTATGCTTAGATCTTTAAAACTACGCAACGGATTTTGATGCGGTTTTTTTTAATAGATAGAGTGATTCTTAAGGAAGGTTTGTATGTATAATACATGCATATTGCACCCGTGCGAAGCCGGGGCGGGTCACTAGTGACAAATAAAACAGATAGATGTATTATGGTAATGATTTATTCTATAAATTGTCGCCGTCATCGCTATCGCTATCCTGTCACTTTCTGTAACATTTATTATAAAACACACACACACTGATTGTTTATCGATTTTTGTGTTCATCAGTACCTTCTTTAATATATCTGTGATCACTACACTATTATATTTGGTATCATTATTTCACAAAATGACAGTAGCTAATGTCAAATCTAGAATCGAATTAAAATTTTGACTATAGGTATCTGTCTCAACAAACATCAAACAAAAGTTACAATATTTATAGGTAATCATATTTAAATATTTCTAATTATTTTATTTATTATGTTTGTTATAATTTGCTTAAGTTTATATTTTATCATTATATTACCGTCATTCTAGTTTTAAGTTCTTTCAGTAATTTTATTTTGTTCTGTATTCGTTGCATGTATCATCTGTCTACACTGTGTCTTATGTCTTATGTTTAATTTCCTTTTCCTGTCACAGGTCTGCAGGAAGAAATCCCTTAAGGGATATGTAGTACCTATGTACCTCATGTTTATAATGTGTTGTCCTTTATAATATTGTCTGTGTGGTGTAGGTACATAAAATGATAAATAAATAAATAAATAAAACAAAAGTTCATCTAACTCACCTTTTACACTGCCACGGTCATTTTAAGACTAAAATTAGCAAAATCGGTCCAACCGTTTTCCAGTTTTAGCGAAACTAATGATTGGACATTCATTTCTATATAATAATATATAGATGCCTATTTGGTACGTTTGAAACGACCAAATTGAATTGTTCGTCAGTCTGTGTGTTAATGAAGCTAGCTCGTTCCAACGTGTAGTTTTGAATAGAGAAGAACGAGAAAGAAACTCTATTGTTACTCTTTCAAAAAATGTTTTTTATCATCTTATAGATTTTTTTTCCTGTGTCGTGGGGCGTTTACAAACATACAAATTCACATACACATCACACCCAGACCCGAAACAACAATTTGTGGATCACACAAAGTGTTGTTCCGTGCGGGAATCGAACCCGCGACACGTTGCACGGCAGCCGGTTGCCCAGCCACCGCACCAACTGTGCAGTCAAAGATTTTGCCACCGTTACGTTTTTGATATGTTTTAGTATACGTTCCGAAGTATCTCTGTACAAATTGACATCCAAATGTGTCCAGTAGTTGTGTTTGTAGCCTATATATTATCCCGACCATAATCTACCCTTGTTTCACAAATTGTATCCCGATTTCTTCAGCTGTTTTGCCCTGAATGAGTAATAAACAAAAAAACATACAACATAACATTACACCTTTTATCTCCGAAGGGGTAGGCAGAGGTGTACATTTTGCTACTGTACAATGCAACACCTATTTTTCACTATTTATGTTATGAGTCCCATGTAATAGGGAGTGAACCTATTGCCATATACCGGGCACAATTCCAGACGCCGTGCTACTACTAATTTATAACAAAACCCAGTAATACTTTGCCTGACTCGGGAATCGACCCCGAGACCCGTTGCCCGGCAGTCGCACTTGCGACCACTCGGCCAACGAGGTAGTCAAAAAAATATACAAACTTTTGTTATTATATTATTAGTAGGATGTTGCTGTACCTAGTCTATTTAATTATGTGGCCATATTGTTGATATATAAATAAACAACTCAAGTTGAGGAAAATATGACAATTTAAATGTGTATTCATGTTTAGCAAGATTGTGGGTCGCTTCTAAATTAGCAAGAGAGGTAGGATTATAAATTAAAAAATAAATAAAGGTCAGATACTACACTTACGAGCTCGGAGACATTGACTTATAATTTCATTGTGTGTGTGTGAAGTGGACAATGGACATTGTAAGCGCGGGAGAGCCATGCTTCAGCACGAATGGGCCGGCTCGACCGGACTGATACCACGGCCTCACAGAAAACCGACGTGAAGCAACGCTTGCGTTGTGTTTCGTCGTGTGAGTGAGGTTACCGGAGGCCTAATTACCCTCCCCTTCCCATATGTCCCCAATCCCTGAATCCCCAACGATCCTCAAACTCCAAATCCCCAAAAGGCCGATAACGCACTTGTAACGCCTCTGGTGTTCCAGGTGACCATGAACGACGCCGATTGCTTACCATCAGGTGATCCATCTGCTCGTTTTTTTTTTTAAGGGGGGAAAATCATCGAATTACTGCTCCCGCCTGGGTGAGGCGGGAGGGAGTGTCAGACTCTTACTGACTAAAAACCACCCCGTTCCTTCTCCTGCACGTCGAGCCGGAGCCCCGGTTACCCGTTAGGTTCTCCGCGAC